TTGAGCATAGAGCGATGGAACACAGGATGCACTTTCAAAGAAGGAGGTAAACGCAAACGGAAAGCCACAGGCAAAATCTGCTTGACAATAGGGTAGGGTCCCACATAACGAGGCGCAAACTTGCCCCCAGACGGCTTGAGATGCTTGGAAGAGAGCCAAACCAAATCCCCCTCCTGGAGCTCAGCACCCGCCTGCCGATGTTTATCAGCTTGTGCTTTCTGAGCATCCTTAGCTTCCACAAGAATACGCCGGGCAACATCATGCAAAGCAAGAAATTCGTTAGAACGGTACACAGGGTCCGTGGAAACAATGTCATGCACCGGAGCCGACCCCCACCTAGGCTGCATACCATAAACCAACTCAAAAGGGGAATGGCGACTGACGGCATGGGTAGCATTGTTGTAGGCGAATTCAGCCACAGGAAGCCACTGCACCCAATCCCCAGCTTGCTGTAAACAAAAACAACGCAAATACTGTTCCAAAAGGCCATTCACACGTTCCGTCTGGCCATCAGTCTGCGGATGAAAAGCAGAAGAGATATTGAGCTTCGTGCCCATCTGGGCCTGGAACTGCTTCCAGAATCGCGACACGAACTGAGGGGCGCGATCTGAAATTATAGTGTCCGGAGCCCCATGTAACTTAAACACATGCTTCATAAAGAGCTGGGCCAACCCAGGTGCTGTGCGAACTTTCGCACACGGAACAAAATGAGCCATTTTAGAAAACAAGTCCACTACTACCCAAATACAGGCGTATCCCCGTGCCCTGGGGAGATCAGTAATGAAGTCCATAGAAATGACCTGCCAAGGTCTCTCAGGCACCGGCAAAGGGGATAACAGGCCACTAGGCCTTCCAGGAGCATGTTTACATTGCTGGCAGACGGCACAACTGTCACAGTACTGTAAAATGTCCTGCCTCATTTTTGGCCACCAAAAATTTCTAGTGATTAGTTGCACGGTCTTAAACCTCCCAAAATGACCTGCAGCCGGTTCATCATGGTGGGATCTAAGAATCTCAAGGCGTAAACTACCTGCAGGAACGTAGAGCTGCTCTCTGCGCAACAAAATCCCACCCTCATTGCGAAGATTAGGGAGTACAGACTTCTGGCCATTTGCTAACAAGGTGAGCTGTTCTTGAGTCCAAATGTCCTCAGCTTGCGCTGCTTTGACCTGGTCACAAAGATCACCCGCACCCTCCATTAAATTGAGAGCCGCTGTAGGTAACACAGTCTGCAGGACGGGTGCCACATCAGTCTTATATTCAGATTTCCGAGACAAAGCATCCGCCCTCAAGTTCATTTTCCCCTCAATGAACTCAACACGAAAATCAAAACGACTAAAAAAAATAGCCCAACGAATTTGGCGCTGGTTCAATTTGCGAGCGGTTAGCAAATGTTCTAGGTTACGGTGATCAGACCGCACCACCACCTGGTGCCTGGCACCTTCGAGCCAGTGCCTCCAAACCTCGAAGGCAACCTTAATCGCCAGTAACTCCTTCTCCCAAATTGTATAGTTCTGTTCACAGGGAGACAATTGGCGAGAGTAAAAGCCACAAGGCCGAAGGATACCCTTGGAGTCTAACTGGGACAGGACAGCTCCCAACACGTAGTTGGAGGCATCAGCTTCAACCACAAAAGGACGGTCCACATCTGGTTGACACAGGACTCTCCCATCAGCGAAACTGCATTTGATGGTCTCGAATGCTCTCTGAGCCTCCTTAGTCCATACGAATGGGTGGTCCTTTTTCAGGAGGCGAGTCAGCGGCACGGTGATTTCTGCATAATGGGGAATAAAGTCTCGATAATAATTAGCAAAACCTAGGAAACGTTGCACATCTTTCTTTGAGGCGAGTTCCTTCCAGGACTGGACAGCGTCCACCTTATGCGGGTCCATTTTCACCTCCCGCCCAGAGACTATGTGTCCCAGAAACTCCACCTCCGGGACATGAAAAACACACTTAGAAGCCTTGGCGAACAGACCGTGTTTCCGAAGCCTCTGCAGCACCGTCCTCACATGTTCTCGATGCTGCCGAAGGTCCTTTGAGTAGATCAAGATGTCATCGAGATAACAAACCATGAATTTATCTAATAAATCTCTAAACACATCGTTCATTAAGCGTTGAAACACAGCTGGCGAATTACATAATCCGAAAGGCATGATTAAATATTCGTAAGCCCCGAGATAAGTGTTGAAGGCGGTCTTCCACTCGTAGCCTTCCTTAATCCGGAGCAAATTATAGGCGCCCCTTAAATCCAACTTCGAAAAAACAGATGCGCCCTGAACACGAGACAATAACTCAGGAATCAAAGGCAACGGATAACGGTCCCGGATGGTAAACTTATTCAAAATACGATAATCACAAACTAAACGTAAATCACCCGTCTTCTTGGACACGAAGAACACTGGAGCCGCCGTGGGAGAACTGGACGGACGGATGAACCCTTTGGCCAGATTCTCCTCAATGTAGTCCTTCAAGGCCTGGCGTTCTGGAAGAGACAAAGCGTAAAGCCTGCCCGCAGGCAACTTGGCGTCCTCCATCAACTTTATCTGGCAGTCATAAGGCCTATGGGGTGGAAGATTGTCAGCCTGTACCTTGCTAAACACATCATAAAAGTCTTTATAGCATTCAGGAACACCTTCCACATCCGTTGGACTTACTGCCAACGTTCCACATACAGGTGGTGCTAAGGTAATGGTCTTGGCTTGCCAGTCTATTCTGGGATTAATCTTGGACAGCCAGTCCATGCCTAGGATGATGGTATACCTAGGCAAGTTAATCACATCCCAGGAAAACCGACCCTCTATACCTTGAGCCTCCCACCTCAGGGGCCCAGTCTCCATAGTAACAGACCGGTGGCCCACTAGAGCACCATCTGCTCCTTCCACCCACTCTGGCTGGCGCTTCCTTTGTAACACAATATGATGGTCCATAGCGAAGCTTGTGTCCATATAAGACCCGGTTGCCCCAGAGTCCACTAGGGCCCAAGTGGAGAACCTATTGCCTTGGTTAGAACAGAGTTCAATGGGTAAAAACACATGGTCTTTACACCGGGGCCACTGAACCGCTGGCCCTAATGTGCTTGCCCCAGTGCACATTAGGGCTGGCCTTTTCCCTGCTCCCTGGGAGCCTTGGCCGGACAACTGCGGGCGAAATGGCCCCCCGCTCCGCAATACAAACATAAATTGAGCTGACGCCGTCTCTGCTTCTCCTCCCTGGATAACCGGCGTTGACTCCCCAGCTGCATGGGCTCCTCGGAATCCAGACTGGAACAGACAGCAGCGGCGGTGACTTGAGGGGAGGGGGTAGACTGGAACTGCGGCTGGAAATAGCCCTCCTTCCTCAGCATGTTCTGTCTCCTCTCCAGTCGAAGAGCCGTTTTAGTCAAAGCCTCCCAGGTGTCAGGAGGTTCAAAGCGTGCCAATTCGATTTTTAAAGCTGGAGCAAGCCCTGCTGTGAAGCAAGTCATAAAAGCTTTCTCGCCCCAGTCCAAGTGCTGTTTCAGATGGTTGAAACGATTCAAATAGTCCAACACACATTCTTTCCCTTGCCGGATAGCATGTAACTCACGGCTGGCATTCTCTTCCTGGAGAGGGTCTCCAAACATCTCCTTAAGAGCGTCCAAAAAGCCAGCATAATTGCGCAGTAAGGGGCTATTGCTATTAACCAGATTTACTGCCCACTTACCCGCTCGGCCAGACAGCAAACTGATCACAAAAGCCACTTTGCTTTCATCTGTAGCATAAGCAGTTGCAGGCACTTGCTTAAAATAAACTTCGGTCTGCATCAAAAACAGTGGCAAACCATCTTTATCTCCGATAAAGCGCTCAGGGACGATAGCACGAGCCGTGCGCGGCCCGCCAGCCAGTCCTCCCCCACGGAGTTCATCAAACTGCGCTTTTATTTATTTATTTATTTATTTATTTACTCCATTTGTATACCGCATTTATCAGCCTGGAGCGGCGACTC